CTCATATATTACTGTTTGATGGGTAAAACTCTTTATTATATATTTAGCGCAAGACGAAAACACGTTTAAGAACGTTTTCCAGAATGCATGACATGGGAGAAAAATATGTGAGAAATATTGGGAGGAGAGTGATGTCTGTGGCACGTTCTAGTGCTGATGGGGGTTATTATGGCCACGAGGAGCAGCAAGTTGTCCATAACGCAGCCTTGTTGTGGTGAACAGTTACAGCCCCGCTCCTGTGCCAGGTAAGTCCACTACGGGCTCACCATAGCCTGTGCTACTTGCAACTTTTGTTCCCTGTAGCTCAATCTAAAACAACAACAACAACGAGTTGTGACGTTAGTGATGGGCATCATTCTGCTGCATGTGTCGCGCCACTCATCCACCTCCACCTCTTCTCTCTAATTCTCTTTCACCCATTTTGAATTGGAACTTTTTCCTGAAATCTAGCCGGGCCTTGTCGTGGGCCACGGAGCAAGAAGCTTACCTTAAGCTGCTCGTTTCTCGGCTGAGATCCTCCTTCAGGGAAGGATTACAACTTTACATAATAGTCTGTGTATGGAAGGAATGGATACGAATCCTGGCAGAGCCGATGATGGCGTTTGGCAACTTGGTTATAGGTGGCGGGTGAAGACAGTATTTGTGGTCGGGTAGTCAATAGTGGGTGAGGAGACGGAGGTGGGGGCGACTGGCTGATGCTTCCCGCTCGCCCTGGGCCGGCTCTGGCCTCCACACACGCCTCCCTCCTGGCCTCTCTCTCAGGTATACAGTGCTCGGTGTCAACAGCATGAGGAGCGCCACATTAAACAGTCTGACGCAGTTGGTGTTAGTGCCTGCAAGTGTCGGGGCGCGCACCGTCCCTAGCCAATGTGGCTGGGACCTCAGCCTGGAGCCATGTACGGGTCGGGTCTCCACCTAGCGTTCAGCCATGTCTGGCAACTGCAGGCAAGATACTTCCCTCTTAGGGGTAATTCTCCTTTGTTATTATCCTGCATGAAATGTTCTAGACTTGCCTAGACACGGGATCCCCAAGACCCTGAGTGTCAAGGTATAGTTACAGGAGAATAAACTACTGCTGTATAAAAACAATTAAGACTTTAAGTTACTGCAGTAAACTTGAATCCTGTGGCTATATCAGCATTAGCGAGAAGCTTACACCGTACAGCCGTAGTCACGCTGGTAGCTGGAGTGGGAGTGCTCATGGCACGCTTAATGATCTCAGGGTGTCCTATTGGTTAGCACACTGGCCATGGCCCAGGTTTCATGGCACGCTTGTTCGCCTCCCATAACACCTCTCTTGCTGCTCTGGCTCTTGGCTAACCTTTGATTTTCAGACAGTTTCTCCTGTCCTCCACGAGTAAGGTTATAGAGCAGATAGATTACATAAAGTGTAGTGAGCTATTGAGAACTCGACTACAGAAGGTGATTGACGTCCTGTTGTAAGGGCTAATTATAGTTGTAACTAACTCACATGTGTGAGTTAGTTACAACTAACCGGTTCCCGGACCCGCCTCCTACAGTGAGGTGGATCCGGGGACCCAGCTTTAAACGTAAACATGGCAAAGAAAAACGAGTGAAAAAGTCACTGCATTGAACCAATGGTTATCAAAAGGCGGGGCTCAAGAGCTGATGCTCGACCCAGCAAGGTTAAGTGGGTACACCTGGGTACAGCGAGTACATGCCCGAGGGAAGATGATGGTAAGATCCTCTCACTGTAGCCAGGGTTCTATTCGCCAGTATCGCCCTGAATAATTAAAGTCTTTCGGAGTAATATAGAGCATAAGTATGGATTTTTTCCAGTAATTATAGAACATAATTTTAGGTCTTTTCCAGCAATCAAACAGCATAATTATAGGTATTTGTGTTGCAGCGTTACTAGTGATACTATCATATACATATATATATATATATATATATATATATATATATATATATATATATATATATATATATATATATATATAAAACTTGCCTAAAATACGCAAGTGAAGTTTTACAACTTTAGAACACTTTCCTATCAGGAGACTCGAACCCTAGCCAGCACAGATGCCTCACAGCAACTGGCATAGCAGATACACCGGTACGGTGTGCAGTGGGTTAAAGGCGTACCTGCTATGCCAGTTGCTGTGAGGCTTCTGTGCTGGCTAGGGTTCGAGTCTCCTGGAAAGTGTTCTAATGTATGTATGTGCGGAAAACCCCACAGAGAAATGGTAAAGGGAATGTTGAACGTTTCGGCGTGACGTTTTGAGTCTTCGTCAACAACAGACTTGAGGAAGAACGTTCAACATCCCCTTTCCCACTTCTCTGTGGGTTTTCCGCATACCAATGATCAGTGTTTCGTGATCGTGATTGCGGCTCTGGTGAGGTGATTGCTACCTAACTCTAGCTATTTGTTGTCTATCGGGGCCTGCTATCTTCCCCCTGGATCATTGGAGGACCATCAAACAATTGTATGCTCGTAGTCGAATTCACTTGAATGTTGATTATTGGTGTTGGTTTTCGAATGAACACGGACTTTAGTGCACGGCTCTTAATGGATCTACATGCTCCGACACACAGTTCCGTGCCCTGGAACATGGGTCTTCTTGCCCTGATACTTCCTGGGACATGGGTCTTCTTGCCCTGATATTTCCTGGAACATGGGTCTTCTTGCCCTGATACTTCCTGGAACATGGGTCTTCTTGCCCTGATACTTCCTGGAACATGGGTCTTCTTGCCCTGATACTTCCTGGAACATGGGTCTTCTTGCCCTGATACTTCCTGGAACATGGGTCTTCTTGCCCTGATACTTCCTGGAACATGGGTCTTCTTGCACTGATACTTCCTGGAACATGGGTCTTCTTGTACTGATACTTCCTGGAACATAGGTCTTCTTGCACTGTTACTTCCTGGAACATGGGTCTTCTTGCACTGATACTTCCTGGAACATGGGTCTTCTTGCATTGTTACTTCCTGGAACATGGGTCTTCTTGCACTGTTACTTCCTGGAACATGGGTCTTCTTGTACTGATACTTCCTGGAACATGGGTCTTCTTGTACTGATACTTCCTGGAACATGGGTCTTCTTGCACTGTTACTTCCTGGAACATGGGTCTTCTTGCACTGATACTTCCTGGAACATGGGTCTTCTTGCACTGTTACTTCCTGGAACATGGGTCTTCTTGCACTGACACTTCCTGGACTATGTATGTGTTCTAAGATTATATAGAAACCTGTATAGATAATTGTCACTGCTTTTCTTAAACAATTCATAATATACAGCTGTTGCACATTCATCAGAATGGAGAGCTCTCGTCTCGTGATCCTGTTACTGACACCAAGTTACACGTAGAAGCAGGCAGTATATGTTGTCACTCCTGGCTTTATGTCTCAGGGAAAATTTTAGTAACCTCTGCGTCCTCCCCATCCCTGACATGGCCTGGGGAATGGTGCCCCACGATGTAATCGCCTGCTGACGCCGTGTGTTAAGGCGTGTCACGCTGGTCTAGGGTGCTAGACAACCACCTCTCACGCAAGTCGGGTACTTCTCTTATATTTCATGGAGAAAAATTAAGAACTCCAACACCGTCCGGCTGCTGGAATATGTGTCAGGTAACCGGTAAAATTCTTAGATATTTTTCTCCCAGGTGAGAGCGAGAGGAACTTAGTGCCACCACTGAGTAAAACTCGAGACACAAACCGGTGACAAGAAAGTCACTATGCACGGAAAACCATATGATTGTTGGACGTTACTCAGGCATCAGGAGAGTCCTATCATGAGGCTGCTGAAGCTGCCTCATGTTATAGCAATAAGGCACCGTTCTCCCCCAGCGGCTGCACCACAACCGTTCTTGGGCTACAGGCTGCTGCGCCAAGAAGCGATTTTTTTTATTGTTGCCGCCGAAGGTGACTAGTTTACTGTGCACCCCATACTTATCCTGTGACCGGTAGCGCAAAAAAGAATTACAGAGGGCACAAAAGGTCTTTATCAGACCTCATCTTAGATTAAAGTGATACACCGTCCGAAGTATATATATATATATGGAAAAAAAGTACTGAATACCCCCAACAGGATGTAGGTTTGGTATGATGCTGGAATGCTAACAAATAATTTAATTTCCTCGAGAGGTTTAGAGTAAAGGAAAACATGAATGAAGGACATAAATAGATGAGAGTGTTTAAAAATGGGGGATATAAATAGTGAGCTAAAAATATCAACTGGTGAAAGAATTCGAAAGAATGCCATAAAATTTGTAACAAAAAAAAATAGAATGAAAGATACAGTTATAATGGAAGGTAGATATTGTGGGAGATGTGTGGAAGCTGGTTATCGTTTCCTATATTATTTGTAAGTTATATTTGCAGTCTTAATGTTTGGTTATCTTGATGGTTTAATAATTAAATTGTGCCTAGTGATCTTAATGTTTAAATAATTGTGAGTAACTTATACCGTATAAGTGCATGGTTGTTGAAGTACTTACTGCCTTAAAACCTCAAGTTATCCTTCGAGTCTGTAAGTTTATTATTGTGTAAAGCCTCGTGTAAGTTGTCTAGAGACCCTTGAGTCATGCAGCTGTCACACTCTACCAGTGTTACCATGCACCCAGAGTGTTACCATGCACCCAGTGTGTTACCATGCGCCTATTGTTCCTCTACCCTCCAGAATGTTACTCTCCACCCAGTGTGTTCCAACACCCAGAGTGTTTCCCTACACCCAGTGTGCTACTCTATACCCAGAGTGTTCCGACCGAGTGCAAATATGAGATATACATATGTGCAATGTTGACCTACAGGACGCGTCTCTATACATGGCCAGAATCCGGCCTGAGGATGGACCTAAATATAGTTACTGCTGCGGGAGTACGGATGGACTTGAAAGGGAACGATGTAACTGCGTGGATTAAGGAATATAAAGAAAGAGAGTGAGAGAGAGAGAGAGAGAGAGAGAGAGAGAGAGAGAGAGAGAGAGAGAGATATGTGTACTGGTAACCCCATCTGAGCTTTTGTCTCCCACAACACAGACCACACCATGGGCAGCCTGCAGGAGCCCAGGAAGGAGGACGCAGTGGTGGTGGACAAGCCGGGGCCCCACGATAACTACTCCTGCTATCGCCTCCAGGCTGCTGCCGCCGCCTCCGGCACCATCACTCCACCTACTGGCAGGGGCCTCTACGGCGTCGTCAGGGAGGCCTGTGCCCAGCAGAACGTCAAATGGCCCGTAGAGTGTCAGGTGAGGTTACTGTGGATTTTCATGTGAAGTGAAAATCACTACTTAAAGTAAACTCTACTCTACCTCTTCAGAGGTAGAGGTTCAGTAATTATGGAAAAAATATTAGGCTAGTTAATGGACCCGTGTTTATATTTAATGTCGATTTGCCTTAGGTTGGGTATGGGCAGCCTATCACGACCGCTCCTTGAAACCATTAATTTTGGCGTCTCTCTATCCTTCAGTGTAGTTGCACTTATTGTATAAAGTCTTCAAGGATATTACTCTTATCTTACTTAAAGCAGAACTTCAGTAATCAGAGAATGAATAGGTCAAACAACATATGTATGTTTTGTAAATAAACTGAAAAACTTTACTTCTAGGACATAAAAATAGTTATATAAGAAAATAATTCATGATAATGAATGTAAATTCACTTTCACGCAGTTCTCTAAGTAGGCTATCAAGTAACTCCCTTGTCTCACCACTAGAGTAACTAGGCTATTTAATAATTACTAGTATTCAAACACTATTCTCATATTAATACAAATGACCAATTAGTTTAACAATCATCAACAACTTTACACTATATTGCAGTTGTGAAATGGGATAGTATTGCCTAGCCATAAGAATGAATTCTCTCCCACTTGTCATCATGAAACAAAGCTATCATAAACTAAAAGTAAGAACTATGTCACTCGAATTATCTTTGCCGAAGAGAAAAATAATTACAGTAAGATTCAGTAGCACAGCAGATCAGTAGTTGTTAGCCTAGCGGCCGAAAGACCAATGATACTTTAAACTTGTTCAGAGGATTTTCTAACACAAGGAAAACCTGGTTGACCTCATGCAGAGAATGGCCTCTCTCCTGGATGTAAGACAACAGCTTTTAGATTGCATTTTCATTATAAAAATTAATGTCATTCTTAATGAAGCGTTGTGTTATGACATTATCGAGGTCTTGTTACTAAGTTGCTGGAGCATTATAAGCGTTTTAGCCAATAACAGTCCATCGAAGTTCACGACCTTTGAGACCCATGCCAAACACAATATTTTCATCACGAAAATTGTGCATTGAAGAGGGGTGGATTAGGGCGCTATTACGTAGATTACATTGTCGTATGTTTTTGTCTTGCTCCATCCTTCTTAGTAATATGTGCATCTTTTGGGGTGGAATATTTTGTGCTCGGGATAATAACAACGTTGGGGATTCCTGGGAGGCAATTTTCACGTCCAGGTCAGTAGCCTCATTATGGGAATTCAGAATAATAACTCAATAGCTCTCTCTCTCTCTCTCTCTCTCTCTCTCTCTCTCTCTCTCTCTCTCTCTCTCTCTTCTCTCTCTCTCTCTCTCTCCCAGGCTCTCTCTCTCCCTCTCTCCTTCTCTCTCTCTCTCTCTCTCTCTCTCTCTCTCTCTCTCTCTCTCTCTCTCTCTCTCTCTCTCTCTCTCTCTCTCTCTCTCTCTCTCTCTCTCTCTCTCTCTCTCTCTCTCTCTCTCTCTCTCTCTCTCTCTCTCTCTCCCTCTCTCTCTCTCTCTCTCTCTCTCCCCTTCTCTCTCTCTCTCTCTCTCTCTCCCCTTCTCTCTCTCTCTCTCTCTCTCTCTCTCTCTCTCTCTCTCTCTCTCTCTCTCTCTCTCTCTCTCTCTCTCTCTCTCTCTCTCTCTCTCTCTCTCTCTCTCTCTCTTTTTAGAGCTGATTCGAAATAAGCAAATATCTACAGGTTGTGTGTAAAGCTGATAAAAGGAATTACTTTATAACTGGGACGATATATTATAACAACTGAGATTATCTAAAGGTGCCAACGGTGTTGATTAAAGTGAAAGCGGGAGATTGTCCCTCTCTAACCCGGTCTCTGTCCGTTTCTGACTGCCACTGTCTGTGTGTGTCTGTCAGCTCCCTCCTCCTCCTTCTCCTGCCTCTCCGTTCCGAACATTGCTCCATGCTGGCCACTAATCACATTGGTCACTTGATCTTCTCGTTGTTCTTGTACCTGATCATGGTAATTTCTGTAACCCTCTGTATTTTCCTCTCGTTCCGAGGCTGCAACAAGAGTTTGTGATGGCTGTAAAAAGCCACTATGAAAGGGGAGATTGCCGAGGTGTGGCCATGACCCACTTGCCCCTGGCTTAATTGTTGGCGCGCTATTACCTGTAACTGACTGGCTGGCTGGGGACCCGACCCTGGCTGGCAGGGGACCCGACCCTGACTGGTAGGGACCAGAGTCTGGTTGAGAGGGACCAGTGTCTGGTTGAGAGGGACCAGTGTCTGGTTGAGAGGGACCAGTGTCTGATTGAGAGGGACCCGAGTCTGGTTGAGAGGGACCAGAGTCTGGTTGAGAGGGACCAGAGTCTGGTTGAGAGGGACCAGTGTCTGGTTGAGAGGGACCAGTGTCTGGTTGAGAGGGACCAGTGTCTGGTTGAGAGGGACCAGTGTCTGGTTGAGAGGGACCAGTGTCTGGTTGAGAGGGACCAGTGTCTGGTTGAGAGGGACCAGTGTCTGGTTGAGAGGGACCAGAGTCTGGTTGAGAGGGACCAGTGTCTGGTTGAGAGGGACCAGAGTCTGGTTGAGAGGGACCAGAGTCTGGTTGAGAGGGACCAGAGTCTGGTTGAGAGGGACCAGAGTCTGGTTGAGAGGGACCAGAGTCTGGTTGAGAGGGACCAGAGTCTGGTTGAGAGGGACCAGAGTCTGGTTGAGAGGGACCAGAGTCTGGTTGAGAGGGACCAGAGTCTGGTTGAGAGGGACCAGAGTCTGGCTGAGAGGGACCAGAGTTTGGCTGAGAGGGACCAGAGTTTGGCTGAGAGGGACCAGACTTTGGCTGATAGGAGCCGGACTGACGCTGAGAATATAACAGATAGTAATCATCATCATCATCATTATTTTAGCCTCATGAATCAACCTATATCAGGCTCCTTCAGGTTGGAGGCGAAAATCCAAAAATTCCTGTAATCATCAGTCTTCATCACATGCACTGAAAGCTTAAATTTTCTGTAAATTTGTATATATTATAGAGAATCTTCTCTTCTAACAGTGTAATTGTTGGTAAAGCTATAGTCATTAAGTAATAAAACTTTTTCCAAGCCATTTTCCAAGTGGCTTGAATATCCTTTGTGTGAGATTTTGTCCTGAGCCAGACAATGTATCCTCAGATTAGGCAAAATTGTAATTAATTTTGTCAATAAAGATATTAATAATAATAAAAGGTTGGCAACGTTGCTATGAACAAATGGCGACTTCACGACATCAAATGAACTGTGGTGCAGTCGGCTCACAACAGATTGGTCTCTGGGTCGATTCCTAAGCAGATCAGATTCTTGGTCGGCATTTGGCTGCGTTTTCTTACCTGATGCCTTTGTTCACCAAATTTTTAATAGTTACCTAGGAGAATCGTACGTGATGCCTCTGTTCACCAAATGGTTAATAGATACCTAGGAGCTAGCCAACTGTTATGGATTGCATCCTGGGAAGGTCAGTAGCTGGTCTGAGACCTCGATAAGCATGCAGGCTTCCTGCTCCTGACAATGGGAAATAAATTTCACAAAGAACACAACTTTGCTCTCATTTGAGACAGTATAATGGGTAACACAGTGAAGGTCATGTCTGGCTCTTCCTTGTGGGAATATTATTCATTAAAACCACAATGTGCTTAGTAGGTTTACTTCTGCATAATGTTATAGTTTGTCCAATTGTTGATGGCGTCGTGAGTGCTAGGCTATACACAAATTTACTCTCACACAATTTCACATTTTGTTTGATAGCTGTAATCTGTTCGCCAACAAATCTGAAATGTATTATTGTTGGGGTTTACGATTAAGATGTGTGTTTACCAAGACATCATAATTCCTAACTGACGAGCACTGGGCGAATTTGTGGCGCCATCTGGCCCTCGTCCTGGCCACCTACGTGCGTCATCCGACACAGCCATTTCAGAGTCGCCCTCTAAGCCAGGGGGCAACAAAAACTTTTTTTACTATTTTGTAACCAATCTCGCTCTTTTTTTCATATATGAGAAATGACGATTTAGCACATAGCATTGTCTAGTAAAAAACGTTTTTGTATAGTATATGACCGCGAGGTCGCTCCTCACAACAGCTTGTTAGACCAAGTTATTATAAAAAAAAAGTGGAAAAACTCACAGAACCATCTCAGGTATACTCCAGGTATACCTGAGTATACATCATTATATATTATAAAATATAATAATGATGACAATAATAATAATATTGTTATTATTATTATTAGTAGTAGTAGTATTAAATAAGTGAACGTTAAACATTTTACTATTCCTACTTCTAATAATAATAATAATAGTGATAACAAAATAATAAAAGGTACTTAAAATAATAATAGAAGACGCAAAGTAATAATTATATATTAATAAGGTTCCGAGATATACACGAGGCAAAACAATCCGGCCACCTTCATCGATTGTGCATTCTTTTAAGACGTTTTGAGGTCACGGGGCAAGGTCTTGGATGTTTGGTCCACACACACACACACACACACACACACACACACACACACACACACACACACAGGTAGGTGTTTCGAGGCCGAGCGGATAGCGTTCGGAAATCGCAATCCACGGGCCCGGGTTCGATTCCCGGCCGTGGCAGAAAGAAATAAGCTCGATCCTGCAGGCACAGATACTAAATACACTCACGCAGTAAACTCTTACCTAAAATATAAGGTAACGAGATGAGCATTTCAGGTTATCGAGGACAAGGTCCACCACATCGAGGACTGGCCGGTGTATCCCGAACCCTTCTACGAGCCCACGGGCGCGGAGCTCCGGCCCCAGCCTGTAGGGGACGAGCTGGGACGAGTCGTCTACCATTACTACCCAACCAGCTCCGTCAACTATGTAAGTCTACACGTAACTTACCCACGTAGGTAAGTCATAATTCACATCCACGATTGTGCCCTGAGCTGCCGCCCTTATTTATGCTGTATAATTTGCCACTCTGGACAGTGATGCTGAAGCTGACTCTTATGTTATATATGGAAGGTATAATCACGTGTGTGGGAACTACCTATGTATAGTATATAACTTGGATTGATTAATACTCTTGTAATTTAAGTAAATAAAAATAAAGAATTATAACGCTCTCTCTCTCTCTCTCTCTCTCTCTCTCTCTCTCTCTCTCTCTCTCTCTCTCTCTCTCTCTCTCTCTCTCTCTCTCTCTCTCTCTCTCAGTTCTCTCGCTCGTGCGTTGGAGGCAATAAATATCTGAACGACGAGGTGCGGCCGCCGTTGGAGGACGAGACGGACACCACCCTGCAGTTCGAGTCCCGCTTCGAGTGTGGCAATTTGGGGAAGGTAAGATGTGCTCCAACTGTGGTGCTCGTTATTGTGATCCAGCTGTCGATCTCCAGCTGTGGTGCTCCAGCTGTGGTGCTCCAGCTGGGGTGCTCCAGCTGGGGTGCTCCAGCTGTGGTGCCTATGCTTCCTTGGAACCTTCAGTTGGTTATGTCATCAGCGGACCCTCAAGGTGTGCCTGAGGCCACAGTGCTAATGTGATATATGACTTGTTTGAGGCAAATATATTATCTGGTGTCAGCTGTGTTGATAACCACTGACGACATAGATAGCGACTTTACGGCGGTCCAATAATTTGTGCTGTACTGGCAATTTCCTTCCGGATAAGACGCAAATTCGGTAGGTAACGAGGGTAAACCTTTGCCAATGCCTCCCTTGAGATCACTCGGCGCGAACCGCTAACAACGTGCCCAGCCGCGTCTTGCAATCCTGAGGTGTGTGTGTGTGTGTGTGTGTGTGTGTGTGTGTGTGTGTGTGTGTTGTGTGTGTTGTGTGTGTTGTGTGTGTGTTGTGTGTGTGTTGTGTGTGTGTTGTGTGTGTGTGTGTGTGTGTGTGTGTGTGTGTGTGTGTGTGTGTGTTGCAGTAAATCAATGATACTGATGTGGTATACTTGTGTGTGTTGGTGCAGGCTGTGCAGGTGTCCGAGTGTTACTACGAGCTACACCTGCGGGCGGACATGTACACCTCGAGACACACCCAATGGTTCTACTTCGCCGTCTCCAACACTCGCAAGGACATCACCTACAGGTGTGAGCCCCTAATTCCAATGCACCAGCTCATTGCACCTTTTCCAGTCACACGTGTGCCTTGAAAGTGTTGTTGATGTATTGACTTTGTTGTATTCCGCCTTTCTTTGCTGTAGTCTGCACCAGCATCATGTAGATGTGATGTTAGTCACTGTCTTGGCGCGCACATTCCTATACTCGCGCACATAGCAGCACTCTCCACAATATTGACTCTGCTTGCTCTCTTCTCATGCTCCTTCTCACATCTGCTTTATGTATACATTCCTTATCCTCGGCATTTCGTCACTCTTATTATGGCAGTTCTATGTCTGCTTCCTATTATCTGTTCTTTGTATCGAGCAGCTTTCAGTGTCCTCTTTTTCTGTCGTCCTACGGCAGTCTTCCTAACAACGTTTGCTTCCTCTGAACGAGCCAGATTTGCTATCTCTTCTGGGTGGACCATCTACTCAATTTCCACCGAACGAACCAACTCCTTCATTTCCGAGTCAGTTTCAATGTTTCCTTCGGAAAAGCCAGTTTCTACGTTTACTTCAGACGAGGAACACCACCACTTAAGTGGCCCAAAAGCCTCGTCTTATTTCCAGTGCCAGAGATAGGACGTGTAAATCACCAGCAATCAGAGAGGACCACTGCCAGAAAGCTAGCAGCGTGACAGAGGTCATAGGGAAACCAAATATGTTACGAGGAGCAGGAAATAGAAATGTTGAAAGGTCTCTGTATGAAACATAATTGAGTATTTACACGCTGCTGACTTGACAGGTTTTCCATCGTGAACCTGACGAAGGGAGACAGCCTGTACAACCACGGGATGAGGCCGCTGATGTACTCCAGCAGGGAGGCTGAGCAGCATGGGGTGGGCTGGCGGCGATGTGCTAATAACATCATTTACTTCAAGAACCACGACAGGTCAGTCACAACTGTCAACAACCATGACAGGTCAGTCACAACTCTCAACAACCATGACAGGTCAGTCACAACTCTCAACAACCATGACAGGTCAGTCACAACTCTCAACAACCATGACAGGTCAGTCACAACTCTCAACAACCATGACAGGTCAGTCACAACTCTCAACAACCATGACAGGTCAGTCACAACTCTCAACAACCATGACAGGTCAGTCACAACTCTCAACAACCATGACAGGTCAGTCACAACTCTCAACAACCATGACAGGTCAATCACAACTGTCAACACCACGACAGGTCAGTCACAGCTCTCAACAACCAGGACAGGTCAGTCACAAGTCTCAACAACCATGACAGGTCAGTCACAAGTCTCAACAACCATGACAGGTCAGTCACAACTGTCAACACCACGACAGGTCAGTCACAGCTCTCAACAACCAGGACAGGTCAGTCACAAGTCTCAACAACCATGACAGGTCAGTCACAACTCTCAACAACCATGACAGGTCAGTCACAACTCTCAACAACCATGACAGGTCAATCACAACTCTCAACAACCATGACAGGTCAATCACAACTCTCAACAACCATGACAGGTCAGTCACAACTCTCAACAACCATGACAGGTCAATCACAACTCTCAACAACCATGACAGGTCAGTCACAACTCTCAACAACCATGACAGGTCAATCACAACTCTCAACAACCATGACAGGTCAGTCACAACTCTCAGCAACCATGACAGGTCAGTCACAACTCTCAGCAACCATGACAGGTCAGTCACAACTCTCAGCAACCATGACAGGTCAATCACAACTCTCAACAACTATGACAGGTCAATCACAACTCTCAACAACCATGACAGGTCAATCACAACTCTCAACAACCATGACAGGTCAATCACAACTCTCAACAACCATGACAGGTCAGTCACAACTCTCAACAACCATGACAGGTCAATCACAACTCTCAACAACCATGACAGGTCAATCACAACTCTCAACAACCATGACAGGTCAGTCACAACTATCAACATTACGACAGGTCAGTCACAACTCTCAACAACCATGACAGGTCAATCACAACTCTCAAAAAAAGGCGTTTTTGATCAAAATTGGTGAAGGTCTTTGTATGTAATATTATCAGTGTGTTATTACATGAAGGTGAAGGAAAGGCCAATATATGAATATGTGAATTAAAAACAAATGTATGGATGTAACCTTCATCCTCTCTCAAGATGCTGTTGTATACAATGTTCTGAACTAGGAGTTTTTATTACGTCTTTGTTATTGCCAAGGCAAATGGGAGGGACCTTCGACAAGCCGCTGGCTTCCTGTCCTCGTCAAGATCACTAGTGTTAGTGGCCTTCCCTCAGGTAAATTCAGGTAAATGCTTCACCCACATAGTGTAATTACAAATAGTTTTGATGAATGCCTAATCTAACCAACCCTAGGCCTAATTATACTTAGTACTATAATATATAATACCATTCATTTATATTTGGGAAAATTCAATTTGTTATTGCATATAAAAATAATGAATGCACCTTTGGGGACGTCGGCAGCTTGGACAAGCATGATCTAAGGATGGGTAAGCGTTAGGGACTCATGTGTGAGTGATGAGTAAACCCAGGCTGGAGGAAATGAGTTAGTGTGAGTGGTGGGTAAACCCAGACTGGAGGAAATGAGTTAGTGTATGAGTGGTGAGTAAACCCAGGCTGGAGGAAATGAGTTAGTGTGTGAGTGGTGAGTAAACCCAGACTGGAGGAAATGAGTTAGTGTGTGAGTCTGGTGAGTAAACCCAGACTGGAGGAAATGGTTTATAGTGTTTGCGAGGTGAGTGACCAAGAGAGACAACCATGTAGGTGTTACGGGGAGTTTCAGCAAGTAGCAAAGTAGCAAACTGATAACGAGACGAACTCTCGTCTCGTCTCTGAATGACGAGACGTCATTCTCGAAAACCATTTTGGTGTTGTTTTAGATTCAGCTACTTGGAACGACAAGTTGCAAGTAGCACGGGCTACGGTGAGCCCGTAGTGGACTTGAATTCTTGGTCGTTTCAGCAGCGACAATGCGTGCTACGACAGTGATGACGAGGGCGAGGATGACGCCCCGTCGTACACCCTCACCTTCAACGTCACCTTTCCCCACGACAACGACACTGTTTACATCGCCCACTGCTACCCCTACAGCTACTCCGACCTCCAGGAACACCTCTTGTACTTCCAGGTGCGTTGTCTTGCGTCTAGCCGCCTCCGTTACTTTGGGCCAGATTCACGAAGCAGTTACGCAATTACTTACGAACGTGTACATCTTTATTCAATCTTTGGTGGCTTTGGTTACATTTATTAAACAGTTTACAAGCATAAAAACCTGCCAATCAACTGTTGTTATTGTTATAAACAGCCTCCTGGTGCTTCGGAGCGCATTAACTGTTTATTAATTGTAAACAAAGCCGTCAAAGATTGAGAAAAGATGTACAGGTTCGTAAGTGCTTGCGTAACTTTTTCGTGAATGTAGCCCCCAGGGTTGAGTACATGCACATCAAACATTCACACGTTAGATACTTCAAAATAACGGATAATGACGTTTCAAGCTGCCTTGGACCACACCAAGTCGAAACCGGTTTCAGACAGAACGAAAAAGGTTCAAACCTGAATCGAACAGGTCCAGGACCGATCGAAACGTAGTAATGTTTTCAATTTATTAATGTAAGCTTTTGTACACACAGTAATCACAATAGCGTGATGCATCAAATGAACAAATCCACAAGGGCCGTGACGAGGGTTCGAACCCTCTTTTACCATGTCGTAGCTCAGTCGATTAAGGCAGCGTCTGGGATCCTCTCGGGTGTAGATTCGAACCCTCGTCATGGCCCTTGTGGATTTGTTCGTAGGCTTTAGTGCTTAAAGATCTTTCTTGGAGAGCATGTTTTACGGGCTGTTAATAGCCGCTAAACCTTCTGATTGTGTTGTTTGTGCCGACAGAACGACCCCTTCAAGGCGAGCGTGTGTCGTCAGCGAGTGCTGTGTCGCTCTCTGGCGGGTAACCCGGTCTACCTCCTCACCATCACCAGCCACGAGCCCGAGGAAGACGGCAAGGTCAGTTGGCGCGCACTGCGTTAGGTGCTCCTCACAGATCATGGGTCGGGGGTTCGAATCCCAGCAGGACTAGGTTGTAAATTCCGTTAAGTGGATTTTGTTGGCGTAAGATGTGCTCGGTGTATCGAAAATGTTGTTATTGTTATAAACAGCCTCCTGGTGCTTCGGAGCTCATTAACTGTTTAATGATTGTAAACAAAGCCGCTAAAGATTGAGAAAAGATGTACAGGGGCCAGATTCACGAAGTAGTTACGTTAGTACTTACGAACGTGTACATCTTTCCTCAATTTTTGACGGCTTTGGTTACATTTATTAAACAGTTTACAAGCATGAAAACTTCCCTGTCAACTGTTGTTATTGTTATAAACAGCCTTCTGGTGCTTCGGAGCTCATTAACTGTTTAATAATTGTAAACAATACCGCCAAAGATTGAGAAAAGATGTACAGGTTTGTAAGTGCTCCGTGAATCTGGCCCCAGGTTCGTAAGTGCCTGCGTAACTGCTTCGTGAATCCGGGTCCAGCACTATACAGTAACTATATACCTGTTGTTTGCCAGTTATTGCTTCCAGAAAACAATGTCCCCCGCGGCCCGGTCTCTGATCAGGCCTCCTGATTGGGAGGTCTGGTCAACCAGGCTGTTAGACGCTGCAGCCTGATGTATATATTTACACATGTAACTGTTTCTAAACAAAACTGAGCTAATTTCACATAACTTATTTGCATAGATATCATGTGTGGTGTATTGCTGATAACGTCGATCAGGCTGACTGTTGTTGCTTCCTCTTGGCAGAAGAAGCGGGCGGTGGTGCTGACGGGCCGGGTTCACCCTGGCGAGACACCCTCCTCCTGGATCATGAAGGGTGTGATTGACTTCCTCACTGCTGACAACCCCAAGGCTCACGTAAGTCCCCCCTGATGACCCCAAGGTCCACGTAAGTCACCCCTGACAACCCCAAGGCTCACGTAAGTCACCCCTGATGACCCCAAGGCTCACGTAAGTCACCCCTGATGACCCCAAGGCTCACGTAAGTCACCCCTGACAACTCCAAGGCTCACGTAAGTCCCCCTGACGACCCCAAGGCTTACGTAAGTCCCCCCTGATGACCCCAAGGCCCACGTAAGTCCCCCCTGACAACCCCAAGGCTCACGTAAGTCCCTACCACCACACCACACCTGCCACCACACCTTCGCTGCCACCACACCACACCTGCCACCACACCACACCTGCCACCACACATTTCCAAACCAGACTAATCTTTGTCCACTTGTCTGGGTATATTATTGCTGGGTTAAACACTAATTGTCAGAGCCTTATCGTAAACCTTCGGTAATTACACTGTGATTAACGAACTGGCCGAGGAATGTATTTTTAGCCATAATATTGATTATATAAACTCCAATTCTAATGACGACCATGCAACACTTGACCTCAAGGGCTACCGTCGGGGTCAGTAGTGACCCCTGTCGATACTGTGGGGTCAGTGGTGACCCCAGTCCTCACATTAACATGAGGACAAGCAGCCTGACTGTTGATGCTTGCCTTTGGCATCAGGTAGACGCCAATGTCGAAGTTTGTCTTTTAAGAATGGCGTTATCAGCAAATGCGGGATAGCGCGCTTTGGTATGGCGGGTAAGTGAACTAATCGCAAACTTCCTCTGCAGGAGTTACGGAGCCAGTTCATCTTCAAGGTGATCCCCATGCTGAACCCCGACGGCGTGATCGTCGGCAACCACCGGTGCTCCCTCGTCGGCCGAGACCTCAACCGACAGTACAAGATGGTCGTCAAGGAGATGTTCCCAGCCATCTGGCACACTAAGGCCATGGTCAGGAGGTCAGACGCACGCCACACACACACACACACACACACACACACACACACACACACACACACACACACACACACACACACACACACAAAACCAGGTATGATAGGGAAATGGGACAGGAGTCATTGCTGTAAACAACCGATGCTCGAAAGGCGGGATCCAAGAGTCAATGCTCGATCCTGCAGACACAACTAGGTGAGTGCAACTAGGTGAGCACACACACACACACACACACACACACACACACACACACACACACACACACACACACACACACACACACACGTGAGCCCATTAGGCTCAGGAACCTGTACACCAGTTGATTGATCTGTTGAGAGGCGGGACCAAAGAGCCAAAGCTCAACCCCCACAAGCACAAATAGGTGAGTAATACGTGAGTACACACACACACACACACACACACACACACACACACACACACACACACACACACACACACACACACACCCACCCGCGCGTCACACAATGATAATGATACTAATAAGAATAATGATTACATAGTGGGGTTGGTCACTGTACCGGGATGTTTTGAATAAGAGGATGATGATAATGTTGTGCCCGGGGACCAGGCTGATGGACGAGCACGGGGTGGTCATGTACGGGGACTTCCACGCCCACTCCCGCAAGCACAACATCTTCCTCTACGGCTGTGAGAACCGCCGTAACCAGGACAACCACCTCCGGGAGCAGATCTTCCCGCTCCTCCTCCACTACAACGGCGGGGACAAGGTACGTGTACCGCTGCTAGGCCGTACCTGGTGACCTTGTGACCTCTTGGTGATCCCTGGCAGCCCTTGGTGACCTCCGTCAATGACCCATCAACACCCTGCAGGGTGATATTATTGTTTTATGATCATTGGTGTAATGTCATTCTGTAATTTGTCAAATATGTCACGAGGAGCATAACATAACAGCAGGTGAAGAACCTGGCACAATAACGGAAGCCGGAAGCTGTATACCTTATGTTTGCCGTATGGGTTTCAAGGCCCTTGAACTTTCATTGCCGACAGCGATCTCAAAACTTAACCCTCACGACATGTAACACTCTTCCCTCACACAGTTCAGTTTCCGGAGTTGCAAGTTCAAGGTCCATCGCTGCAAGGAGGGGACGGCCCGGGTAGTGGTGTGGATGATGGGCGTCCTCCATTCCTACACCATGGAGGCGTCCTTCGGCGGGGTGTCAGAGGGTCCTCGGGCCGGCACCCACTACAACATCCACGACTTCGTCTCCATGGGCCGCCAGTTCTGTGAGACGCTCTTCGAGTACTTCGATCCTCAGCCCATCAAGGTATCCTTTATTTAAATCATCAGTAATGAAGTTCATGGTTGTCTTCTGATAGTTGATAGCTTTCTTCTGATATTTGCTAGTTTTCTACTGATATTTGCTAGTTTTCTACTGATATTTGCTAGTTTTTTTTTACTGATTTTGCTAGTTTTCAACTGATATTTCCTAGTTTTCTACTGATATTTGTTATATTTCTACTTATATTTGTTATATTTCTACTTATATTTTCTAGTTTTCTACTAATATTTGATAGTTTTCTGATACTGAATAGTTTTACAGATATTGATAGTTTTCTACTAAAATTGACACTAACATTGATAATTTTCTACCGATATTGCATAGGTTTCTTTTAATATTTGATAATATTCTACTGATACATAATAAACAGCACAATAACGTGATGTAGCTATGAGAATATCTCCGGGGAAGTGGGTTTGGATCCCACAGCCCTTTCACAGAGATTTTTCCTTTCCCAGAGATTTTTCCGTCACAGAGATTTTCCTTCCCCAGAGATTTTCCCTTTCCCCCAGACATTTTCCCTTCCCCAGATATTTTCCCTTCCCCCAGATATTTTCCCTTCCCCCAGATATTTTCCCTTCCCCCAGATATTTTCCCTTCCCAGAGATTTTCCCTTCCCCAGAGATTTTCCCCTTCCCAGAGATTTTCCTTTCCCAGATATTTTCCCTTCCCCAGAGATTTTTCCCTTCCCCAGAGATTTTCCCTTCCCCAGAGATTTTTCCCTTCCCAGAGATTTTCCCTTCCCCAGATATTTTTTCCCTTCCCCAGAGATTTTCCCTTCCCCAGAGATTTTCCCTTCCCGTAAGATAATTCCTTCCCCTGAGATTTTGCCGTTTTCTAATAATATTTAATAGGTGTCTTAATATGTTAGAGTTTTCTGCTAATATTTAAATATTCTCAATGTTATTTAGTAACGTCTACTGATAAATGAAAATTTCGTTTACAATTTGGATATCTCTTTAATCATTATTATTATTATTACCATTCTTGAGTTGGAACTCGGGATATGATGACTTTTGTGAGTCTTTGACTAATTATTGAATATGTTTTTGTTCCCCCTGCCTTCATGGAACGATTTGTTATGGTAGGTTTTATTGACGTGTTTATCTAGAGTTTTGTATGTCTGGTTAAGTCTCTAGTCTGTTACCAGTGTTGTCACGTCATGACTGTTACCAGTGTTGTCACGTCATGACTGTCACTAGTGGTGTCACGTCATGACTGTTACCAGTGTTGTCACGTCATGACTGTCACTAGTGGTGTTACGTCATGACTGTTACCAGTGTTGTCACGTCATGACTGTCACCAGTATTGTCACGTCATCACTGTCACCAGTCCATGCTGGACCTTGGGGAGAGGAGGTGGGGGGAGGGGTGACATCTTGAGTGACAGCGCCGAGAACGCCACCTGAAGACATTCAAAATATATTTACACATTCTGATATACTTCAAATATACTTCTTGTTTACATATGTGAGTTGGACTTACTTGCGATGTTTCCGCAGATGGAAGGAGAAACTGAGGAACAAGTTGTGGTCAAGACTCATCAAGAAGGGCTCCAACGCTGACGAACCGGCCTCCATTGACTTCAGGTGAGCGTTCACCCGCCAGGAAAATGGCGTCTTTATCACACCCTTGTGTTGGTGGGAGCGGGGGAATGCGTACGTGGTTTCTTCTCTGTGCGTACGAGGAGTGAGCTGTGGGTATGTGCTGCGTAGAGGCTGGGTACGACGCATGCAAACTGTGTTATTTCCTCTTCCTCAGCGAGAGTGACTCAAGCAGCGGCGACTCCGACAGACACGCGACGCCGGTGAGGCTGAGGAAGAAGAAGGTGCTGAGGAACACCAGGAGGAAGGCGGGAGGCGGCGGCGGGAGGAGCAGCGTGGTGCAAGTGGTCGAGAAGGTCACCACGCAGATGAGAATGGTGACATTTGACCGACAGTTTTGTTCTCAGATCTGAGATATATTGAGCTTTCTCCAGTGTCTTACATTTAGCCTTATACCAGTCTCTTAGCCGGATAGGAGGTGGCAGTGTGTACACGACGAGATGCTCCTCACTGTTGTGTGTGTACACACTGAGAGTCCTAGACAGTATCCAGGAGGGAAGTGTTCTTCTGGTTGTTGGGGACCTCTTGTGGGACTTTAATCACTCTATATAGGTTGATAGACCTTGAGCCCAACACTACCTCGCTGCCATCTTTCCTTACTGTTAAATTTATTCATGTATTTACCTTCTTCTGGCGTCATTAAGTGATGTGAGGTCAATGGACAGGTAACTAAGGAAGGTGTAAGACTTGGAGAGATGTCTCAATATGAACAGTTAACTGTAAAATAAATTTATGCAAATTGGGGAGAGATCTCAATGTGAACAGTAAAGCTTGGGAAAAAAGCAGTCGGGAGATTAGGGATGTAGTTCCCTTAAACTCTGGTTCAAGTATGTTTATTGAGACAAGAAAAAATACATCTCAAAGGGATAGAATAGCTTAGGCTATGTCTACCTCCTTCTACTTCAAGTCCCTCAAGGGGCGCACAAATTCAGTGAGTACAGATACACAAATCACAATACAAGAATCCAATTTAACATTGCAGGTTAATATAGTAAGCACAGCATATAAGTGTTACACTCTTGGGCCAAAATTCTTGTAGCTCTTAAGTATACTGTCTATCATACCATTATCACACATCCAAACTTAAACTCTGGTTATTGCTGTGCGTGAGGCGAAATGAGAAGCCGTGCCTCACTGCTTTTTGGCAGGGGGACACTTATGTTCTGTTCTTGTGAATGGTGTTTAGGAACTACTTATTAAATATGATTTTCCATTAATTGGTTTGCAACAGACTCCAGCTGTTGGTCCCGACCATCGGACTCTTTGGACCCTTGCCAACTTCTTGGCTTAACCAACATATTGATTTTGATAATTGATATAATGAGTTAGCATAATTATTTCAATTTCTGAAACATCAACCAATTCAGGCCGTGGATCCGATGCAACACTCCATTTTCTATAGAAATATCAAATCTAGACAGTAGAAAATGATGTATACCTGGAATATACCTGGAGTGAGTTCTGAGAGTTATACCCCAAGTACGGTACTCCATGACCTTACTTCCCGGCCAGGTCATGGAGGCTTGATTTTTGATAACTTGGTTTAAAAAGCTGTTGCTTGAAGTAGCCCGCAGGCCCTATATTCACTACAACCCAGTTGGTTCTACACAAGCCACACTGCACATATTGGTGAAGATTAAGCCACCCAAGAGGTGGCGCGGGCTTCAGTAGCCCCGTAAGACACTGGACTGTTTCCTATCACCTCTAAATAGTTTTGCTTTTCCAGGATAAGTGTGAGCGGCGGAGCAAGACTTTGCAGCATAGTCGGTCGGGATCGTCTGGGTCGCCGGTGACCAGCTGTCGTGAGCCCGCTGTGAGTGGGAGACTCTGTGGTGAAGCTGCGTCGGGCGATTCACCGCTCCACGACTCAGCCTTCCGCCCTCCGCCAGACGCCAGACCCTGCCTTAAAAAATTACTGGAGCGATCGCCAGCCTCCAGCAGCGCGCTTGACCTGAGCTCAGGACGCACAAGCCTTAGACCAACCCAGTACAAGCTTGAGGAAGCTTTGCCCACCCCCTGCTCAGCCCCCCCTCTCCGCAGGTCCAGCCATAGCCTCATCCGCCCCCCACTCCACCCCTCCTCAGCCACCAGGGAGAGGAGCACCTCCCCCGCCCCTCCAGAGAGACCCTCCACTGGCTCTGTGAACGAGACCTTAGCATACAGACTCTACAGCAACAGACACAGGGATGCCAGCCATAGTGTACGTCTGCCAGCTACACTGTCCCCTTGTTTACACTTGCCTCTCCTGCATGCACTTCCTACCTTGCATTCTCATATATATATATATATATATATATATATATATATATATATAATATATGAAATATTTTATTTTATGTAGATACCTTCTACCGTCTAGAGAGTGAAGAAACACTAAGTCGCTTAATCGTTCCATTTTAGTACAACATTTCATCAGCAACGTGACATCTTCGGGAATATATACTAGGTACATATAATACAAATACATTAAGATTATGTGCATGACCATCCTTATGTAAGCGTGTGTTCACCTCACCCCATCAAACTAATTCTAATTTGTTGTTTTAGATTTAGCTACTCAGAACGAAATGTCCACGTAGCACGGGCTATGGTGAGCCCGTAATTGAGTTCGATTATTCGCGATAACCTTGTTACCCTAATATTTGGGTTAAAGTTTTAAATGGAGGTGGGGTTTCCTCCTTTTTCCCTGATTCTTTTTCGGAGTCATTGCTATAAACAACCGATGACTAGAAAGGCGAGTTCTAAGAGTCAATGCTCGATCCTGCAGGCACAAATAGGTGAGTATACACACATATACATATATTAGGAGGTGATGTGGTGGAGGCAGACTCTATACACAGTTTCAAATGTAGATACGATAGAGCCTAATAGGCTCAGGAATCTGTACAAGAGTTGATTGACAGTTGAAAGGCGGGACCAGAGAGCCGAAGCTCAATCCCCACAAGCCCAACTAGGTGCTTGTATTACACCTATTACACCTACAATATACAGGGAAACATGATTATATATAATTATATAGATTGGTAATTATCAGGAGAAAGCGCTAATTCAGTATGACTATAGCACAATAATATATTGTTAGTATTAGACTAATATACGCAATATAAAGCTTAATACACTCACCGTAAAGTCACATATATACAATGTAAGGTCTAATATACACAATGTATAGCCATTTACATACACTTTTATGCTAAATTCAAGTATTTTCAGTCTAATATACTCGTTACAATGTCTGACAATACTCGTACTGCACACCTGAACTGTAAAGCCTATTATGCTCAGGATAGTCTAATTTGTAAACTGTTTACCTGCTTTATATTCAGTGTAGTCAAATATGTACGCCTGATATGTAGTGCAAATATGTATGCCTGATATGTAGAGCAAAGCCTAATTTACACACTATTGGGAACATAAAATTTTAAAGGCATAATCAGAAAGGAATAGTGCAGTAGGCCTACTGACGCCTATTTACAATCCAACAGTTTTCACTCGTGTTTCTATCCAATTTTGTAAAGTTATCGACACATTGCCTTAGTGATGTCCCTTGTTTGCAGCTTTCGCTGATTATTAATGTACTCATGGTTTACAATTTTAATTTTTTAATTAAATTTGGCCAATTTCAATACCTTATTATGAATTCTAAAATTATTTTATCTTAATTTAGATCTCCCCTTGTCCTTTAAATCCATTATTTGTATGCTTCTTTCGTGTATACACACTATGAAGCCAAACATACATACTACAAATTCAAACCTATAAACTGTAAAGCCAAACACACACTGTATGTACATACATACAACAAAGCCAAACATACAACATATAAAGTGAAGACACAATCTATAAGGTAACTCACACATTATAAAAGCAAACATATTTGGACTAATACATATAAAAAATATATAGTTCGCGTGTCTGTACGAGAGAACATCCGCCACATTCCTCTTCGTCACTGAATGCCTCACCTCCGTAACATCCTACGTAACATCACCTCTCATTCCGCTCAAGCTACATTCTACTGTATATCTAGTATTAGTGATGCACTTTGGTAGTAAAATAGGGAGGTGGTATGAAGGAGAGCTTGTCAGTTGTCCCTCAGGGCGGATATGAGAGAGAGGGCTGACAGAGTTCTCCCTCAGGATGGGTGTGAGGCCGACGGGCTACGGGATCATCAGGATCAGCGAGCGTACCTGGACGGGGCGACGAAGAGCTACATGGAGAGAATGGGAGAGCTGATGGCCTCCAGACTCGCTGTTAGTGACACAGAAGGTGAGTAGTCTTGAGGACGCCTGCCTGTGCTCTGTGTAGTAGGCCTGCCTCTCCTAATACCTTGAATTGAAATTGAAATTGAAATAAGTTTATTGAGGTAAAATACACACAAAGGGATGAGGTAGCTCAAGCTATTCTCACCTTTAACTTAACAAGTAGTAGGAGGTAAATTGTATTTAAGAAGTTAAATGACCAGGAGATAAGAGCAGTGTTCTTGTGCGGTCAAACTTTTATTTGTTTATATGGTCCCAAAAGTACATAACACAACCCCGGGTTCAAACTAAACATTATTTTGTATTTCTCGGTCCTCTGATTGCAGCTGTACCAGAATTACCTTAATTAGATTTTCCAATAATAAATATTACCATATTGTACAATAATTTGATTGCATATTTAATGGTGCGAACTGTTTGGTCCGTCAGAAGGCAGCGTGAGTAACTTCTGGGAGACAGACCCACCGACCAGACTCTTCCTTCCATCACCAAGGTAACCCCTCCCCTCACATAACACCTTGAGAATAATACGAGGCTATTCTCAAGTTGTATAGCCTCGTACAACTTGAGCCTAGTTGTGACTATTCTCTACAACTTAAGAATAGTACGAGGCTATTCTCAAGTTGTATAGCCTCGTACAACTTGAGCCTAGTTGTGACTATCCTCTACAACTTCAGAATAGTACGAGGCTATTCTCAAGTTGTATAGCCTCGTTCAACTAGAGACTAGTTGTGACTATTCTCTACAACTTGAGAATGTGCATTGTGCAGTTCATTATGCAATATGAACTGCATATTGGTTTGGTTGATTTTTTTCGTTATATCTTCACAGGATTATTTTTTGTATAAACATTATGATACTATATTGATATATTTGAATGGTTACTTGACATTGTTTAATATTGGTTCAATTTTACTTAAGTTAGGAAGTGTTGAGATAAATCGAAATATTTAGGTCATGTTACTCATTTTTAGTTCAATATATACAACAAAATGAATAGCACAAGTGCTGAATTTAATGTATCATATATCTATATGAAAGAGTGTCTGTTGGAGGCCTGATGCTTGGGTCCAGCCTCACTAAACTTTGCAAAGTGACTGGTGGGTGTTCGGGAATTGTAATAGTCGGGTCGACCCCCTTGTCCCTCTTCATATGAAATTCCAAATTAAATCAAATTCTAATTTCGCTAAATATCAAAGACCATCCTCATTAAGATTCATCCAGAATATGATTTTCTACATGAATCAATGTTAGTTTGTCATATGTAGTTTATTTATTGATAAAGATAGTGTGGAATGAAGATGGTTGAAGCGATTAATATAAAGTGATGAAGGGTAGAGAAGGTGATGAAATACGCTTCACAGTAACTTGGTACTGCGGAGGACGCAACTTGCCTAAGGGGCAAACCTGTACGGTAAGTTACACACATGTTCACAGATCTGGCGTTTGAGGTACCGTGAGGTATTCCACACATGTCCAGCTATACAGCTCCAATACCTAAGAGACAGACTACAGAGTAAAGGATGTCTTAAATAGGTCTTGCTAATATAATTATTGGAAAACATATAGAGAGTTCATCTGTGAATGTCTGAGAATGACACGAAGTTCTTTACGAATATGATAGCTTAATCATATTCGTGTCATTATTATTATACTGTTGCCTTTTTTGTGTTTTTTAGTATGTAATAGGGAAGTATAACCAGAGTGAAGACTAGTGTGGTAACTGACTTGTCTGGTTACAGCATCAGGAGACTGGAGGCGCTGGAGCCCGTGGTGGCCAAAACCCGCCTACACGACCCTCGCCGTCCAGTCAGACCCGCCCGCCCGCCTCCAGCCCTGTACTCGTCCGTCCGCACCGCCCACGGTGTACACCGCGGTGCCCCCCACCTCCACCGGACCCCCTTCAACCGCAGAGACAAACATGGCGATCAGGTTAAAAGTAAGAGAAAAGATAAAGACGAGGAAAAGTCGCTTCATTATCTTCAGGAAGACCGAACAAAAGACAACAGGCACCTACAATATTACGACTCAAGAAGTTCGTATAATGGATACGACAATGACAACTTGTTATGGGTGAGAAAGCCCGGTGGAGACGCCCTTGACTTCCTAACAGACTCGCTGCATAATGGAAATCTCGGTTACCACCGCTACTCGTCCCAGCCAACCCAGCTGGACATGGGCCCCTGTGATGATCTCCTTGTGTCTGGCGAGGAGGTGGTCTTGAGGCTGTCGGTGCCCCAGACGCCCAAGACGACGTCGGCAACGGGTTCAAGATCCGGGGACGAGGCGTTGAGAACACTGGCACCGCGCAGAGACAGCACCCGCCGCCACAGCAGGAGGGGCAGCGCCACCAGGTCCTCCGTCGTTACCGCCGCCACCAAGGACGTAGACGAAGAGCAGCTATGTGCAGATATCGCCACCTGCGACACGCTCTTCCTGGACACCTCTGCTCAAGAGACTCCAGAACTTATAGCCGCTAGGAACCTCAAATGTAAAGTGAAGAAAAAGAAATCCGTCAAGACGTCTATGGGAAGCAGAGAGACGGAAAAGAGGAAAGACGACAAACAGAGCGAAAATAACGAAGTCAAGCAAGATGAAGGTGAGAAAAGTTTTAAAGTGGACTATGACAATGAGAAGGAGGTGTCAGAGTGTACACAGTCTGAAGGTAAGGTGAAAAAGAAGATTAAAATCGTCATTGGCAAAAAGACTAAGACGAAAGCGAATAAGAAAAGTTTATCAGAAAAGGATTCATAACGCCTTGAGTGTATAAAGCATAACATCAGGGAACAAATATTAGTGTGATGTCAGTCATCGATACGCTGATCATTTTTATACCTTTTCATGATTAACAGGTTTGTTGTTTGATAAGTTATTCAGAAATGCACATTTTAGGCAGCAGTCACCACAAGGCAATCTGAACACTAGTTTCGAAAGTATTTTCCAATTTCAGTGACTGAGTTTAAAGTATTGTAAACACACACATTGTGGCCGTTTGTCTCTTGGTGTAAACTGCTCTCTAACCCGTCCGTTTTCTCCAGCTGCCAATGTAAACTGTTTTGCCTAACCAGTTTACGTACAACTCCGAGCAGTCCCATCTAACTTATCGAAGCCAATGCATAGAAAACTCCTGACTCAACCTTGACGGCTGCCGGACGACAATGACACCTGCTCCTCCTCTCGGGGCCGCCAGAACACGTGACGATTTTACCCTCTGGGTCTAGATACTGCCGTCAGACATTCCTATACAACGGTACGGATTGTTACAATGCCTGGCACACTTATCGGCCGGAGTCACAGGGACGCTGATATATGTTTTTCCGTTTCTGACTGGTTCTTCGGGCGGGGCGACGGTGTCCGGCGCCTTTTGGTGGGCTCCTGGCGTGTCCTCAGGGCGTGGTGGGTTCCTGGTGTGCCCTCAAGGGCGTAGTGGGCTCCTGGTGCCCTCAGGGCGTGGTGGGCTCCTAGTTTGTCCTCGGTGTGTGGTGGGCGGCTGGCCCACTGGAAGATGTTTTCGCCCTTTAGGTACGAGTTCATAAGGAGCCATGTTTTCTCTCGACTTTGTTTGGCTACCCAGTGTTCTCAGTGTGGGAAGGGGGCGGGCGCCAGTGCTTACCGCCCTGAGAGACTCCTGGGAGGCCATCATCTGCTACCATTGTGTGTGTTCACCACAAGGCGCGTCTGTTTCCGCTGACAAGCGACGTTAACGAAGCCATAAGGCTTTGCAATTTTACCCTTCACGGGAACGCCGATACACATCCGGCACCACTGCTGTCAATCCTAAATCAACAACAACAATCGAAAACGTGAATATTACTGGGCTGTCATCTTGAGTATTGCGACGTATTAGGACGGGTTGCTCGACTGCGTCACCTGAAGCGCATTGGTGAATGCTGTTGGTTCACTAGTCGTTGGTCCTGGATTCCAATTCCGTGACAAATCCTGTTTCCCACAACGTGACAGATCCTGTCTTCTACCACGTTACGTCCTGTCTCTGAAACGACCCATGCTCACACTTGGACCAAGCAAGCGTTGTCACGTAGCATTTTTCACATTTTTTTACATTAAAACAAATATTTGTTATAACAGCTACGAAACCCTCGCATCTGGGACTGCCAGTTGTGCGACTCTTAGTGTCATGGAAGGAGTGTAGTGTGTTTATATTGTACTATACACTTGAAATAAACTGAAATTATTAGAAATCGTATTTTATTTACTACTTTCATTATTTTCATTAACTATGGTATTATTCACAGTCAATGCTAATGTAATTAATGTCGTTATATTCATTAATTGTAAATGTTGCAGCCTCACCCAGCGGCACAGACAAGGCAGCCTCACCCAGCGACACAGACAAGGCAGCCTCACCCAGCGACACAGATAAGGCAGCCTCACCCAGCGACACAGACGAGACAGCCTCACCCAGCGACACAGACGAGACAGCCTCACCCAGCGACACAGACGAGACAGCCTCACCCAGCGACACAGACGAGACAGCCTCAACCAGCGACACAGATAAGACAGCCTCACCCAGCGACACAGACGAGACAGCCTCACCCAGGGATACAGACGAGACAGCCTTACCCAGCGACACAGATAAGGCAGCCTCACCCAGCGACACAGACGAGACAGCCTCACCCAGCGACACAGATAAGGCAGCCTCACCCAGCGACACAGACGAGACAACCTCACCCAGCGACACAGACGAGACAGCCTCACCCAGCGACACAGACGAGACAGCCTCACCCAGCGACACAGACGAGACAGCCTCACCCAGGGACAGATAAGACAGCCTCACCCAGCGACACAGACGAGACAGCCTCACCCAGGGATACAGACGAGACAGCCTCACCCTGCTACAGACAAGAAAGCCTCACCCAGCGACACAGACAAGACAGCCTCACCCAGCAATAAAACAAAAAACACCCCTGTGACAGAAACAATTATATCAATCATACAGCTATGTGGCGTGATTCATAAGAAAAACTCAACCTCCGCAGTCACAGCTTAGATAATACTTACCTTGTAGTCTATAGTCTAGGCTATCAAGTAGAAGATAATACACCACATAAGGACAGTATTCGGGAGGCAGCAGGCAAGAAAGTTGCAATAGGCTATATCCTGAACTGGAGCTGAGGCTAAGTAGACTCCAAGAGGCCTGAATCATGCATCCTAGGAAAGGAAACAAGAGGGAATAGTGACAATGTGTAAGTTCTTAAGGTATAATAACGCAGGGATATGTTTGGGAAGGGGTGAAACTAATGGATCAAATGGAGACGGAATTCTGAAATAGGCCACGGGGATGTGAGAATGATTTTTTTCAGTGCGAAAGAAATTAGCAAGAGACTCGCATTTTGAGTGAAGGTTTAGATATTAATTACACCAGTTGAATGACGGATTCGAAGTGTATCTTGAGAGCTGGACCTTGATCCCTACCAACACGCGCAGAGAAATAAAATTAATGTTCAAGTTTATGATGTAACCGGAAATGACTAGGAAACAATGCAACACTTTTCTTTCTTGAAAGGTCGCTATAGACATAGCGGCCGATGCCTACAAGGTATTTACACTTATTGTAGGTAAGTTATACTGTTGGATGCAAGCCAACAGTATAACTTACAGGAAGGAACACACATACTTTCATCCAAACATACACATACAGGTTCGCATCTACGACAATATGGAGGATGTGGGCATAGCAGCAGTTATGAATGACGTCAAACCAAACAAATGGCGAGATGTAATATCCTGCTGTTTGCTCAAACTGACGTCACTATCCTTAAGGGTTTCTCTGTGCATTACCCTTGTGTTCGAAAAACGAATTGATACCTGAAAAAAATGATTAAAAAGAGGTAGTACAAATATTTAATGCAAACAAGCGAAAAAGAACGTAAAAGTTTCACAAGATACTAAAATATGCAAGCTGGGTAGATGGTGCACCCGAGCCGTGGCCAGCCGTGGCTGGTGGTGGTGCACACGACCCCTCGCCGCCGCCCGGGTATATAACTCACCGTCTTGACGTTATCCCACAAGTTCGTCCTCCACACCAGCCTTCTTCACCTCCTGCTGATCCACTGCCTCAACACTCGTCGCCATCATGCCCTGTGGATGTGGAAGTGAGTATATGCTCATCTGTTCTCTTTCCCTTTTAACTTTGATTCTTGTTTTTATATTGTGTGTTATACTTTCTTTACTCACACACACTGCCTGTTGCCATACATAGAGTGAAGAGCTGTGCAGGTTAACTAACGTGTTGTGTTGACAGCGTCATGCAAGTGTGGGTCTGGAACCTGTTGCTGTGGAGCCAGCTGCTCCTGCGCCGCCTGCCCTAGCAAGAAGTCCTGCGCCTGCTCCGGTGGTGACTGTAAGTACTCTTACTTTGTGTTCTGGTACAGTTAGTCGGGGACTGTGAGTACTGTTACTTTATGTTCAGGTACAGTTAGTCGGGGACTGTGAGTACTGGCCACTGCATGTACTAGTAAAGTTAGGCTGAGATTTTCTCTCTTGTCTGAATACAGTAGTCTGCTCTGATGTTGACTCATTTACCTACCGATAATATATTTATTAATTATATGAAGTGATTAAAGTAACTTACTTTAAAATCAATTTGTGCAGTCTCGTTCCATTTAATTTAAAATATTGAATTCAGTAACAATTTAGATCATAAATAGCCAAGCTTCAGTGGTATACGAGGTCACCTCGTTGATAGAAATTCTGACGATCTGGCGACTGTTGATTCATTTATACAGTAATTTGTATTAATTTATACATTTATTCACCACTATCAGACTTTAAACTGCCCTTCAATATAAAGTGAGCCTCTGCATCATATTGTTATTTTAAATATCAAGCTAGGTACGTATTTATATGAATACCATACAGTGGTATTAAACTAGTTACATTGGTGTTGGACTAGTTACAGTGGTGTTGGACTAGTTACAGTGGTGTTGGACTAGTTACAGTGGTGTTGGACTAGTTACAGTGGTGTTGAACTAGTTACAGTGGTGTTGAACTAGTTACAGTGGTGTTGAACTAGTTACAGTGGTGTTGAACTAGTTACAGTGGTGTTGAACTAGTAACAGTGGTGTTGAACTAGTTACAGTGGTGTTGAACTAGTAACAGTGGTGTTGAACTAGTTACAGTGGTGTTGAACTAGTAACAGTGGTGTTGAACTAGTTACAGTGGTGTTGAACTAGTTACAGTGGTGTTGAACTAGTTACAGTGGTGTTGAACTAGTTACAGTGGTGTTGAACTAGTTACAGTGGTGTTGAACTAGTTACAGTGGTGTTGAACTAGTTACAGTGGTGTTGAACTAGTTACAGTGGTGTTGAACTAGTTACGGTACAGTTGAGTACTATTGAGTAGCATGTTACAGTAGTGTTGAACTAATTATCGTCGCGTTGAGCTAATTACAGTGATGGTGAACTAATTACAGTAATTATGAACTAGCTGTAAACATTGGTGTTGAACAAGTTTAATACAACATTGGCACTACCTACTGTAAGCAAACATCGGTATACTAACTTGGGGAGGTCATACTGTGGTGTGTATAGCTTGATGGGAGACATGACCCCTGACCTATACACGTGTACCCTGACTTGCCTACTGCTCTGGAGACACTTATCGCGGTCGATAAGCACTAAGATTGTCACTCTTGTAGCTAGGCAATAATAATATAAGTAGTCTATGCGGCGCATCTAATTAAATAATGGTATTGTTCTGTGTAGATTATACGACAGATATTATCCCAACCATGAACTCGAGAACTTTTATGAGTTTTGTGTGTACGTCTGATAACATACTACTTGTGAAGGAGGAAATGTATATGTTTATCTCTCAGAATGTTTGGTAATATGTTTATTGTTTGTGAAGTGTGCCTATGTATGTATTAACACGTTGTACTGAACGGGGTGAGAATAGCTTAAGCTACCTCATCCCTTTGTGTGTATTTTACCTCAATAAACTTATTTCAATTTCAATTCAATTTATGAGTTCTCCAACACAACAAATGTTGTGTTGATGACAAAGACCTATCCAGCTGCCGTCTTGTGTCTCACCTGAAGACTGGTCAGGTGTGTAATGTGGTATTCTCTCTCCCCGACAGGTGGCACTGAATGTCAGTGTAAGACTGCCGCGTGCTGCTGTGGCGCAGAGTGTAAGTGCAGCCCCTGTCCCATGAAGTGAACCACCTCTTCTACCCACTCGTCCCTGTCTGTCCCATGAAGTAGTCGTCCCATGAAGTAAACCACCTCTTCCACCCACTCGTCTCTGCCTGTGGCGTTGTGGACCATCACCAATGAAGCTATATTCTCAATGATCAAGTTTTACTGTAGATCTGCACCGGGTTTCATGTTTTTCCTTCATCAATCAATCTTTATTTGCAAAAGTATACAGTTAATAGTGACAATTGCTTTATATGAACTATGTTAACTTAATTATATATCATATTTTGTCTTCGGAACATTATTTGCTGTATCATATTTTTATATGTAATAAATATATAAAAAAACAACAAGAATATTAAACCCCAAATGTATTTTTCGATTGCAAAGTGCAACTGCGTATTTGTTATTTATTTTGTTGGATTGTATTACGTGTTTTCTTAGCTCATTAAAATTAATGGTTACATTTGATATATAAAAAAGTTTGGAGGGAACTGCGTATCTCTATGATGACAAACTCTCACCCTGTCCATGGAGGTCAGAAAAAAATGTATATATGCTAGTTAGCATTGTAAATGTGTGGCCACATCTGTGATAGAAAATAATAGTAATAATATATAATAATAATGACGCGCCGTGTCTGCACGAGGCTGCAGGTGGGGCCAGAGTAAACATGGCGCCGGGCGGGGACACACGCGTTACTCCAAGCGAAAATCACAAAATTCTAGGTAAGAAGTTAAATACAATTGCAGGCGACGAGTCACAATAACGTGGCTGAAGTATGTTGACCACACACTAGAAGGTGAAGGGACGACGACGTTTCGGTCCGTCCTGGACCATTCTCAAGTCGATTGTGAGTCAAGTCTAAATACAATTCCACAAGGGAAGGCTGGCCGACTGGTAGATCAAGAAGCAGTGTGGTAGTGTATTGAGTGGTTCATGGGTTCCGTTAATTGAATTCCTGCGTCCGGGAGCATCCCAGACACTGTCTTAATCGACTGAGCTTAAGGTAGTGTCTGGGATGCTCCCGGACGCAGGTTCGAATCCTGGTCACGGCCCTTGTGGATTTGTTCATTTGATGCATCACGTTAGTGTGATTTCTGTGTGTAACAAATATTCAGGTTTGCTCCTGGTGAATTCAATATATATCATTCAAACATAAAACTACCATCTCTAGCAATGAATTGTCCATAAAATGTTGTAAAGGTTTCATTACAGATTTATTCTCGGCAGGACCTTTTAAACGGGGGTATAGTTACATGTTTAATATCTGAACTAGTTGACAAATAAGATGGTGATATGTTATCTAGCTAGCTTCAGTTAGATATAATAACGACTCTGATAGCCTATCTGTTTGGGTGGCAGTGAGGCTACTTACAAGAAAAAGCTAGCCTTAGATAGAGTGAACATTTAGAAATATATATAACCGTTGTTGACAAGGAGGCTTTTAATCAAAATGTTTGCATTTATATTTAGAAAAATTAGTCAATATCAAATATCAGATCTATCATGCGATACATCCTACTGCCTCGAAAATTAAGTCGAAATTTATACAGTGCTAACATATAAACAACTTTTTCGCAAACCTAATGTTAAAGAATTCTTTATTGATGTTGAGAAACCAA